AGCTGTGAGGCAGGGCAGGGAGCGGGAGCTGGGGTACAGACCCCAGCCCCGGCAGGCACCCAGCACTGGGAAGGGTCTCCTGATGGATGGATGGATAGACAGATGGCGGAGGCACAAAATGAAGCCTGTCCGTCACGCCTCACATCTCTGCCCCTCACCAGAGCATGTTAGAGGGGTCCATGGTCACTCACTTAATACTCCTTCTTGCTCACCGGGAGTGTGTTTCCAGAGCTGGAGGGGAGGCGTGTGCCAGCACACACACACTGCTGCCCCTGGCAGCGCACAGCCCGCGGCCCTCGCCCCACTGCCCTGGCTGATGGAGACTCCACCGAGCCTGCGAGGAAATGGTCGCAGTGCTTAATTACCCTCTGCGTTCAAACTGATTTCCACTCTGAATTTGTCTGGTTTCAGCTTCCAGCCAATGGATCTCGCCGTGGCATTTTTTCCTGCTAGATTAAAGAGCTGTCCCCTATCAGAAATCTCTCCTCCACACACAACGTCATAAATCTTGCTCTCTGCCGGCTATCCGCAGCGCATAAGGATTCGGTTACGAGGAAGAACGCTACTAATTTTCTTGTCCTTTTTGTTAACTAACAACAGCTCCATCCCCCCAAGAGCCTGTACTCTCCCCAGACAGCCGCGTCCGCCTGCCGAGAGCTCGAAGGACTGGGGAAGCACCAGGCTCGGCATGGGAATCTGCCGGGGGGAGAAGATAGCAGCTTTTAATTGATAAATTCCTTTTTCAGGTTCTTATTCAGCCATTTGGGAAGCTCCCCAGAAAGCTCTAACTTTGCTCAGAGCTTGTGCACGGGGGAGCTAACGCAGATGCTCCAGAGCTGTTCACAGTTAGCACCGGTGCTGCACGGCACAACCTTGCCTGCAGGATCCTACAGCTGCATGGTAACATGGGCCCTCCCTAACTTGCCTTCCAGCGGGGCCAGGCAGCTGCTCCGCTGTGCCTGAGGATGATGCCATGACCCTCGTGCCAACCCATGGAAAGCCAGCGCCACGTGTGCCAGCAGCTGTGGGAGTAGCAGTGCTGTCCCCCTTGCACTGGCAGTCGCCACAACTTCCCAGCCGGAGTGAGGGGACCGCAGCTGTGGGAAGCACAGCCAGGCAGGGATGGAGGGACCCAAAGGTCTTCCACATCTCCCTCTGAGCAGCCCCGGAGGCGAGCCCTGCGTGCCCCATGCCCTGTCCCAGCCCCACACCAGGCTTGGCAAGGGCACACCAGACCGAGCACAGCCCCACGGACAAGGTGGGTACCACTGCTCCTCCGTAACGATGCTCTTAAATTAATCTCATCCCTTCCCAGAAGCTGTTATCAGGCACCATCCGCCCCTTCACACCCCGTTTCCAGCCCAGGGTGGACAGACGCTGGCTGTAACAATATTAGCACTGTTTGTTACTTTGGGCACATTAATGCCATTTGGAAAATTACCGGTTTGACGCTACTGATTTAAAATGCAATAAGGGGTATCCAGCCTCGCTGCAGAAGCCGAGCTTTCTTCACAAACGGCAGGAAAATGGCGTGGGTCCTGGCGCTAGGCAGCTAATTGTAGTAAATTCAGCCACACGCGTGCGGGAGGGG